ATCCCTCCAAAAGGTTTGCCTCCTAATTGTACACGCCTGCTGAAAATTATCGAAAAGAATATTCTTCGCGCATTTGATTACATTCAACATGAGTTTGTCATAAACTCACCTTCTTCAGGTTCTGCTACTGTTAGGTTGGGTTTGTTCGAGTGCCGTTTCCCTGTACTAAGTTGGTCGTACAAAAGCGGTATCAGTCTCCTCGCCGAATTCCTTCGATATAAATATATACGTGTATTAAAGTCACCCCTGTTCAATGGCAGTTTGAATACCACCTATGCAAATACGTTTGTCCAAACTGAAGTGTGAGCTATCACAAAGTGGATAGAGACGAAGTAGACCTCATGATCAATGGTACAACAAACGTGTATGGGTTTCGTCTGGAGGTCAAGCTAACAAACACTTTCGCAGGTGTAAGAATAAGTACCCAATATGAACTGTTGTTTTCCTCAACCTTTAGACATGATAACCTTAAAGCTTGGGTATTCATATTTTGATGGAACTTAATATAGCAATAGCGAAGCGATTGCTGGGTATAAGGAAAACTAAACTACTGGCACCGTGAAATAGTGTGCACTTAGGTGCTGCCGTCTACATGTACAGGCTGTTTCGCCTAGCTGATGGTGGAGATCGCACAGCATGCAAAGGTGAGGATGTGTCCACTTCTGGCTCTCCGTGGTGCCCGTCGGTCCGGTCATCTGCTAACCGAGGTACTGCGCATGCTCAAAACATTTGCTGCACAACCTTTCATATTGACAGATGCAATCAACTAAGTACCGCTGCTTGCTGTCAAACCTGCTGCTTTCCAAGCAATGCTTGCATTGTTTACAAAGTCAAGTATTCCAAGGTTTGTACAAACCCATGTGTACACTGTTTTCACCATAAGCTATTAGATATAGATAGGCATCGTACGTCTCCGGGTGCAGCAAGTTGGTACTCATAAAATGCTTGTCGCTATGCGCCTATTCCTTTTTGACGTGACACAATAATACACGGACGCATTATTTCCGTTGGGTTTCACGTTATATTTCGTCTATGCAACTGATTGACCATGTGCGATGAAACTTCTGATAGGCGTCTCTGCGCTTCCGCATTCCATTTGCTTAGTTCGTGCGTTTTCATAAGCTCCGTTAACTTCAGTATGGTTGAGAATAACTGGAACTATAAGTTTGCTCTCCAGTATTACTAACCTACTAAGTGAAACATGAACCTTCGACATCGCGCTATTCGCTAGTCGGTTAATTGTGTAAATTGTTTACTTGCGACAGAATTTCCAGGGAAATTTCTCTTCGAATGCATCTTCCAAGATGGTCACACGAGGGCCAATCCTTGAGCATTGTATCCCATGTCGTAGCCTTTACACTTTGTGCTTAATTTAAGCGGGCAAGCGATGCTAATCTTTGGATTCAAACATATCCATCGAACTGGAAACATACACAATAATTTGTGACATTAGCATGGAGCCATAGCAGGCCCATAATTTGCTCGGAAACACCGCGCGCACGTCAATTACGAATAAGCTCATGGATAGACTGAACCATTATTCTGCGATGTACTGGCTCTCTAAGCGTCTTGCTACTTTACATTGAGCAGCTGGTTAGGCTGGAGGTGTGTAATTTACAAAGCAATTTAAGGAGCGGAATGTAGATAGCCTAGTCTGGTAACACCATGGACTTTACCTAGTGTTGTGAAGCGCTGCAGCTTAATAATAATACGAAGAAAATGCTGCTACTGCTCACCGTCTGGTATGTCACTGTACTAGACCCCACGAGAAGCTAGCCAGAATAGCAAAGCATAGGTTATGATGATTACAGCCTTGTAATGGGCGACGCGTGCATTCATCGCGAAATGCACCCGAGTTAAATGACCTCAATAAAAGTCGGTTAGGTGTGGCTTATTCGTTCTAGGCGGGTGCAGTAACCATACGACATTGCACTGTCAGTACTTAATCATTCTAGAATGAAACTGTATCCAAGTACGACTTACATGCGGGCTATAGAATAAGGGGGATAGTAAAATGACAGAGATGGTGTAAGCAACTTTTCCAGTTAGTAGAAATGGTGCAAATATGTCCACTGCAGACTGTCCTTGTCGGAAGGTAAAACCAGAGCCGGTTATGCTCATCTTGTCTGTGGCGAGTGAGGAGCAACAGGAAGGTGGAACCACGAGGCAGTCCGTCGTGTGTTACCATTTATTTCCCCTCGTCATTTGTTCTGACCGCTGGTATATCTCGACCAATTCATCATTGTCTAGAATAGTATCTATGCCCAAGCTTGCGATTTGGTTATTATGACGTATTGCCGCTGTTCCGGAACCAACGTTGATGACTTATCTGTATCTCAGTGCGTTTACCTGAAAGCGGCAGTATAGAGACAATTGCTGTGGGATACCTTGACCTCATATTGACATCCACAATAAGTCTCGGTGTCACACGAGAAATGTACTAAGTTCCACCTGTCAAGTGGGAACGTATCGCAAAGCGAACAGATGTTAGTGGGATTTGTACATTAAGCAAGTCGTATTTGGACATGAAGCCAGCGGATAATGGCGTTACGTGAGCGAAAACGTCATCAGGCTGTCACGCTTACGTGTGGTGCTTATAAATGTTTCTAAGTGGCTTGCACTAATCATTCAAAGTGCGATATCAGTTGACACAAGAAAGGGCCCTGGTTCCAGTTACAGTACTGCAGTTTTGCAAACGGGCATTTGTTTACACTTTTGTATGGAGTACCACAAACTGGCTGGAGAAATCGAAACCACAATTAACCATAACCCTACCTATGTGCGTGAGTTTGAATCGAAGGAAAGAATTAAAGCTATGCTCCTCTGTTTTAAAAATTGAACGTAGAATTATAAGTAGGCAACATTACTGTCAGTGGTTAGTTAGCTTTTGGATGTGAACCTAAACAGAAGACTTTAGTTTAGTCAGAAGTGTGGGTATCAACGATAGATTGAGACAGAGATGGAAATACGGAAGCAAATGCCATCAGTAGGGTTACCAGGTAGAATGATGCACAACTAAATGTACCGTAAAACACAGCTGACTTTTGGTTCTTGTGTATTGTAGATACTATCTGCTGTAAGCGTTAGTAGACGATAGTATGGTACATTTCCTGGTGACCCCTTTACGCTATCACATCCCTAACCCATATAGTAAACTGCTCTCTGTTCTACCATATGATGTCGAAAGAGTGTGTAAAAGCTTTTAGCAAATTTACAAGAAATGCCTTGCACAACACCCATTTATCTAATCTCGCATATGTGTATGCAGGCAAGATTGTATCTTCACAGCGGGGTTTGGAATGGAACCACTTAGACACTGCTAGAAAAACAAGGAAAGAGTAAAGCTCCATACTCTTGGTGCGATTTGCAATTAAAACGTTGAGTATTGGGTAGTACTCAAATGAGGGTAGACAAATAAGAAGTGTCTAGAGCCTCAGCAGCTGGCGCCGATAAGGCGGTTAGCTGAACGTATGATGTTCGCATGTAACCTGGATTACTCATCGTAAATTTACAGCGTACATCTTGGTTGCAGCTATTCTTCGCAACAAATAATTTGTTTCTGTGTGTGGATTTATTTTATAAGTAAATAATTAGTTAAACTTTAGCGTACCACCACAGTGGGACCCACCTACTTTTAAGTCATTCTAGATGATTGGCCGTTTCTTATTTAAAATGTAGCAGGTACGTTTGCTATTCCGCTCCTTGTCTCGATAATGGCTGATTTATCCTGACTTCTGGATGAACGATGTACCGCGGGAAATATAAGTACACTCTTTCTTGTGACTAATATATTGAACAGAACATGTAACAGCAACATCAGTCTATTAATCACTAGTCAGTGAAATGCCTGGATTATACAGTTTACACACGGACGAGGCAACGTTAGGGCACCTGCAACAAACTTTGTTGGGCTTTGAACGCCGAAGTTCTATGCCACATTCAAATATATATATATATATATATATATATATATATATATATATATATATATATATATCTATATATATATATATATATATATAGAATGACATAGGGTCATCGCATGCTTTTTTACATTTGTAGACTTGGATAAACTCCATTACGTGTCCTTTAACTTAGAAATACACACCTTAGTAATAACGCCTCACAGTAACTGGGACTACACACTAGCACCGTACATTTGGTCGTTGCCTTGAGTATAGCATTCCTTAACCATTTATTTGACCATCCTGACCTACCCTTCACCGATCCCATCAAACAGTTACGTAAATGCTCACCTTATTGAATAATACCACATTTTAATAAAACCAAGTCTTCTAACAATAAATTAGCTGCAATGCGCATTCATGGTTGCTCCGTTTCAGCTTCACAAGTACTACAATTTGGTGAACAACTGAAGCCCCTTTGAACGTAAATTAAGTAAATACAGCGACAACATTTAAGAAGGATTATTATCTGCGTTATCCATAGCAGTAAGCTACATTAACCAGTTTGGTAGTGACCAGGAGATTCCCCTGTTTGGCTGCTGCATGCTGCGTAAAATATTACAAAGTCACAAAATTATATTTTCTCGATGTACGTAGCAAATTAGCCGCTCACCTGTTTGAACGTTGCTCGCGTTTGTTTGAGTCAACACAGCATCCGCCTTCGAACGGCGCGACGCTCATCGGCTCCGCTGCCATCTTTGCTCTCCGCGCACGCGACCACACCTTTCCAATAACTAGCTATCTTTCGGTGTCTTATTTTTAGCACAAGATAGCGTTTCGCCCCACTTAATAAATTTTTCCTAGCATTACTTTTGGTGTTCACCACTCATCGGAGGTTGGCCTTATATCCGCGTATTGGTTCTAATGCGTACCGATCCCGCTCCTCGCTTTATTGGTGACCCCGAATTTTGGTCATTATCCGGTGAATTTTCGCTAACCTTTCTTTTCAGATTTGGCCACAAATTTTCTCTAACCCGTCTGATTTGCACTTTTCATTTCCCGGTTTAAACTCGCTGGCTCGCTATTTTGCTCACTATGGAAACTGATCGCGTAGATTCTGACGTTCAGCTGGGCACAGTTACGCTTCCTATCGCACCTTTTCGCGAGACTAATCCTAAGTCTTGGTTTGGTCAGCCAGAGTCGCGATTTTCTTTGCGTGGTATTAGGTCCGAAAAGACCAAGTTCCACCTTGTCGTTTCCGCGCTTCCGCTAAATGTCATCGATGACATTGATGACATTCTAGATCTTCCTGACGACCAAACGACGTACGACGCAGTCAAGACAGCTGTTCTGAGAAGAACAGGCTTATCCGATCGACAAGGAGTTACGAAACTCCTCAACGAAACCGTTCTTGGCGATCTTAAGTCGTCTCAGCTGCTTCGAAAAATGCAAAGCCTAGCTAAACCCACTTCGATAGATGATTCTTTTCTTCGGGAAATGTGGTTGCAACGACTTCTGCGCGAGATGCTACACATCCTCTGCGCTAGTAAGGATGCACCTTTATCCAAACTGGCCGATACAGCCGACCGAATTTGGGAGTCGTACGGCTAGGTTTCGCAGGTCCAGACGAAGCCGGACGACGATATCGCCAAGCTTAAATCCCAGGTGGCAACATTGACTCTACAATTCGCAGACTTTTCGGCCTCCGGACATAACCACTGTAAATGCTCTAGGAGCCGTTCGCGTTCACTTTCAAACTCTCCTTCGCGAGCACCGAATAGAAACTGTTACTGCTGGTACCACGAGCGATTCGGCCAGCAACTTAAATCTTGTCGCTCGCCCTGTTCCTTCAAACGACAGCAGCAGGGAAACGGGCGGACCAGCACGTAGGGGCGACGGACGTAGCTAGTCAACGCAGTCGCCTTTTCATCGTCACTGATCGTAGAACCGGAGTTCGCTATCTCGTCGTTACTGGCGCAGAAGTCAGCATTCTCCCGCGTTATCCAAACGACCCGACCGAAAAGATGACTCCCTCATTGCGCGCAGCTAACGGAACCATTATCCGCGTATATGGTCAACGTTCGCGCACGCTAAATCTCAGCCTCCGACGCGCTTTCAAATGGATATTCCTCGTTGCGGATGTTCAAACGCCTATCATTGGTCTCGACTTCTTACATCATTACGACTTACTCGTCGACGTTAAGCGACACCGTCTAGTCGATCGCCTTACGAATCTCGCAGTCATTGGGAGTTTGACCGACACCGAGTCAAGCAGTCACGTGTACGCGACTCGACTTAGTTCACCCGACGGGCAAACGCTGCTCGATAGTTTTCCGCAGGCGTTCCTTTCCGCTGTCCCTTTGCCTTCCGCAACCGACGCCGCGACACACCACATTGTTACGAAAGGTCCGCCTGTGTTCGCAAAAGCCAGGCCCATGACCCCCGACAAGCTCAAACTTGCGCGCTCCTAATTCGAGCACATGCTAGACTTAGGCATTATTCGCCTGTCTAAGAGCCGGTGGGCGTCGCCTCTACCCATTGTGCCTAAAAAGTCAGGAGACTGGCGTCCATGTGGCGACTATCGCGCTCTCAATAACGCTACCGTCCCAGACCGCTATCCGATTCCGCACATTCAGGACATCACGGCTAGCCTACGTGGCTCCCGTGTGTTCTCGAAGATCGATCTGGTTCGCGCTTACCACCAGATCCCTGTAGCCGAGGATGCTATTCCGAAAACCGCAGTCATCACGCCTTTAGGACTTTTCGAATTCTTGCGAATGCCCTTTGGTCTTCGCAACGCAGCTCAGACTTTTCAACGCTTCATAGACTCTGTCACGAGAGGACTCGACTTTGTTTATCCTTATATAGACGACATCTTAGTAGCTAGTTCTTCCGAAGAACAGCACGCGGAGCACCCCAATATGCTTTTCGAGAGGTTAGTCTCTAATAGCATTACTGTCAACGCTGACAAATGCATTTTTCAGCAACCATATATAGACTTTCATGGTCCTCGAATCGACGCGCATGGCATACGGCCGCTGGAAGACTGAGTCAGCGCTATTAAGGACTTACCCGTTCCGACTACTTTGGTCGCCATCCGCCGTTTTAGTGGGATGATCAACTCCTACCGTCGATTTCTGCCATGTTGTGCCGACTTGCTCAGTACATTGACCGACTTACTTCGTGGACGCAAGAATGGCAACGTCGAGTTGACGCCCGCTGCAACCGAAGCCTTCAAGGTCTGCAAAGAGGCCTTGGCTGAAGCCGTTATGCTTCACCATTTAAAACCCAAAGCCCCACTCAGCGTTGCAGTCGATGCATCGGACACCGCCATTGGCGCCGTCCTGCAGCAATTCACTGAAGGATGCTGGAAACCACTCGCTTTCTACTCCCGACGCTTACAACCGGCAGAAGTCAAGTACAGCACGTTCAGCCGCGAACTTCTGGCAGTTTATTCTACCGTCCGACATTTCAGGCAGGTCATAGAGGGTAATTCGTTCGTTATCTTCACCGATCATAAGCCTCTTATTTACTCCTTTTGAAATCAAGCAGCTCGACACTCACCACGGGAGGTTCGTCAGCTGGATTTCGTGGCTCAATTTTCCATTGACCTCCGACACATTTCAGGTCAGAATAACGTCTTTGCTGGCACTCTTTCGCGCGTCTCCGCAATCCACACCGCTGGCCATGCAATCGACTTATCTGCCATGGCTACCGCGCAACTAACCGACACACTGTCGAAACGTCAAGCAAGATTCTTCGCTACGAATCACATCGCATACACTGCCGACGTCTGATGGCACAATCTTGTGCGATACTTCTACTGGACGACCTCGACCAGTCGTTCCAGAAACCTTTCGACGTCTAGTTTTCGACACACTTCATAACATCGCTCATCCAGGCATCCAAGCCACGATCAAGCTCATATCCGAGAGATAGGTTTGGCTCGGAATGCAACGCGATCTTAAGCGCTGGGCACGCGGTTGTCTAACGTGTCAGCAGGCCAAGATACAGCGGCACGTGTCCTCTCCGCTTGGTCGTTTTCCGCAAGTCTCAGCTCGCCTCGCCCATGTCCATCTCGACATAGTTGGACCCTTGGCACCATCCAGAGGAATGGTCTATATTCTGACCATGATCGACCAATACACCCGTTGGCCCGAGGCCGTACCCATACCCGACGTATCCGCGGACAACTTAATGCGCGCTTTCGTTGAGCGCTGGGTCGCTTCACATGGCTGTCCAGCCACCGTGACTACCGACCGCGGTCCGCAGTTCGAATCCTCGACCTTCAGCGACCTTCTCAAAGTCCTCGGATGTCAACGCATCCGGACTACCGCCTATCACCCGCAATTCAACGGCATGGTGGAACGTTTCCACCGACAGCTGAAGGCTTCAATTAGTGCCGCTAACGCACTAAGCTGGACCGAAGCACTGCCTATGATACTACTTGGTATCCGATCAGCTCTTAAAGCAGACTTGCACACGTCCAGCGCCAAACTGGTATATGGACAACTTCTTCGACTACCTGGGGACTTCTTTTCTGAAAACCCCAGAACACCCCGTTACGACGCGAATTACGCTCGGTAGTTAGTCACGAACGGGTACCATATCAAAGTAACCAACGTGCGAAAACAACGACGTAAATCGTTCGTTCCACATGATCTACTGCATTGCGCTTACGTTTCCCTTCGAGTCGATGGTTTACGCAGACCACTCGAAAGACCCTACGCAGATCCATTTAAGGTTCTTAAACGTAAGGACCGCGTATTCGTTATCGACCGCCACGGTAAACGTGAAACTGTCTCTATCGATCGTCGCAAGGTTGCCCATGTGGAAGCTGAAAACGACGATGGCTCCCGTCCACCTTCGGACGAGTTAACACAGCCTATGATCGACGACACGCCTACTTCCGATGCTACGAAGCATTCTCTGACTAACCCTTCCGACTCAGTTCCTTCCGATTCTATCGAGCCGAAAGCTTCCTCATCCGACAAAGCTGCTGGATCGACAACGCCTCCGACCGAACGTCCGAAATCGACTAGGTCAGGTAGACATGCTCACTGGCCAGCGCAATTAAAAGATTAGTCTTCTTTTCATTCTTCCTTTCCCGCTTCCTTTTTGCTTGTGGCCTAACCCGCCCAACAAAACGGCAGTTTTGCAAACCCAAAAAATTTGCAAAGCGTTTTGAAAACCCCAAAAACTGCAAAAACGTTTTAAACGCCTAAAAAGGAGAGAATAGTTTTAAAACACACAACGGTTCTCGCTTTATTCGCTTATTGCACTCGGTAAGTGCTACCGCCTTTTGTTAGCTCTGTCGCTCGCACCTGTTTGACACTCCGCGTTTCCGCTTCTTTTTCATATCCCCGACACGCTGACGTTCAACGACAATCGAACTTTACGTTTTCGGTCACTACGTGTTTAAACATCATGTGCTGTGACACTACGCACTTGGACGCTACGAACATTTCCCCCGTTTTGTGTTTTTGGCACCTGTAGGGAGGACACGGGTGGGAGCCCCTAGCGTCCGATCGCATTGGTTCTCCCCCAGCAGCTGCATCAGGTTTCACCGCCTGGTCTCGCAGATGGCTAGCCGGCGACGGACAGTCCTCAAGTAGATCGGAAGGTCACCTACGGTTCCCTTCTAAGAGGGGGCTGTGTAGTGACCTGGAGATTCCCCTGTTTGGCTGCTGCATGCTGCGGAAAAGATTACAACATCGCAAAATTATATTTTCTCGGTGTACATAGCAAATTAGCCGCTCACCTGTTTGAATGTTGCTCGCGTTTGTTTGAGGCAACATAGCATCCGCCTTCGAACGGCGCGACGCTCATCGGCTCCGCGGCCGTATTTGCTTTCCGCGCACGCGACCACACCTTTGCCCTAGCTAGCTATCTTCCGATGTCTTATATTTAGCACAAGATAGCGCTTCGCCCCACTTATTAAATTTTGCCTAGCGTTGGTTTTGGTGTTCTCCACGCATCGGAGGTTGGCCTCATATTCGCGTACTGGTTCTAAAGCGTACCGATCCTGCTTCTCGCTTTAGTATCTTCATGAAAGCGTAAACTGTGCATACATGATTAAATCGCAAACGCGTTTTCTTTAGTCCAAAACAGATCCTCTCACACATTACCTGTGTAATATTCCCCCGGTCAGGCTTTCTGAGCTCTATCGTATCCGAGTAGTGTGATAAGCAGCAGTGCAAAATAAATACCTCATTGACGGCTGGCCGGGTGTGCTGCCTTGTAAGAGCAGAGATAAAGGAAGCTGCTAAGGAAACAAGGAAGATGCAGGAAGAATGCAGGTGAGCAGTATGAGGGTAATGATTACAGGAAGCAAACCCGAGCAAGGTCTAAGCCGTTAACGTAACGCCCGCGGACCGGTTACACATGTTTTTGCAAGTTTCCTGCTTTTAATAAGCCGTGATATTCAACTACGTCTGTAGTCATCACTTTAGTTTATAATAAGCGTTTTCAGGAAGCAACTCCAAATACCATAACCTTTCAGGTTCCATTCCGTCATACCACGCAGTAATACATACAATCAAAGATGTCACAGCAGACAATGGCAGCAAAGCTGTTCCCCGCTCTTACAAAAATTAGCCCCTAATATTTTTGCTTGGCGCTGGTTTCGGTTGCAGTGCGTGACCGCCCTGTGTGTTGTGCACCCTTCCTTCACCTAGCTAGAGTGGAAACGGTGTCCTGTTTTTATTGCTAGGTATCAGGGAATATTTGCTGTAACAATAAAAGCTTCCCTGCAACCCGATCTGCCTTTTCGTGTCGCTCGCTGAGTTCCCGCTACGGGCTACTAGCAGAATTGGTGACACCGACACCGGCAGTATCTCAGCGCCGACCAGTTGCAAGTTTTCTCCGGTGAGCTCGTTCCATTTATTTTTGCATAGGTAGCCTAACTTTTGCGTCAATTTGTTTAAACTATGGAAAATATAAACCTATGGTAGCTTCACTCCTTAGTTTTGTCTTTCTTTCTGTCCCGCCTTTTGGGACATGGATCCTCTTTTGTGGTTCGGTCATCTTGAGGCCGAATTTTATAACTACAGAATCACTACCGATTACGCGAAGTACAACATGCTCATGCCCTTACTACCCAAGGAGATAGCAATGCAGATTAGAGACGTTATCATTTCGCAGACCGAATACCGCTATGAGGCTCCAAAGCAGGCCATGATTAAGTAGGTCACGCCCTCTGAGAAAGTTCGCCAGCAGCAGCATTTCATAGATTTGCAGCTGGGCGACAACCTACCCTCAACCAGGCTAGGAGAGAAGCAGCACCACTTTGATTCCTGAAGCATGGACCAGAATTTACTTCGCGAACTGTGGTTACAGCGGCTACCGAAATACATGCAAGCAAACCTCGCTATCGTGAGCTCCGTTTCGCTCACTTAACTAGCAGGTTTAACCGATGTGGTCATTGTAATATCACAGCTACAAGCCGACGTCAACAAAGTAAACGCCGTCGCGTCCCAAAGCGATCCTATCTCTGGTTTGGAGTCAACTATAGAAGCCCTGCAAACAAAAGTCGCGACACTTAGTCGCCAGGTTCAGAAGCTTACCACGAACTGTCGTCTTCATAGCCGACCTAACTTCCCTTCAAACGTTCCAAGTCCAGCACCACAGACTTGCTTTCGGTACCAGCAAAGCATTGTTACCGGAGCTCGTACATGTGCGAAGCCTTGTCATTTCGCCGAGAAGCATGAAAACCATTCAGCCGGCGGCGACCGGCAGACAGTAAAATTGCCTCGTCCGTTTTAGGGATTTACTATCCAGCACCGGGTTCCTAATCAACACGGGAGCCAAAGTTAGTGTTATGCCCCTAGCTGAGTAGGCTTTCTCTCTCTCGCCGATGAAGCTGCATACCTCCAATGGCACACCAATCGCAACTTTCGGCCAAAGGCTGCTAACGCTCAATTTAAGCCCCCAGCGAAGCTTCGCTGGCATTCATAGTAACAGTTGTGCCTTTCGCTATCAAAGACATAGACTTTCTTCGACACCCCTTCTCGTCGACCCTGAAAATAAGCTTATTGACTCTCCAACACAGCTCAGTATTGTCGAGACCAGCGCCAACGTGGTGGCTAGTATCACCATGCTTGTTCTGCCTCAAGCTTCCCAGCCTTTCATAGACCATTTCAATAAGCATGCTAAACCCATTCGCGTTCCGAATGACTTGCCCGCTGTGACGTCCAACTCCATGCACTACTTCGCGATTATGGGTCCACCGGTTCCGGCCTGCCCTCACAGACTATACCCGGTCAAGCTCAACACTGATAAGGCGGAATTCGAGCAAATGCTCGAACTGGGAATAATCCTCCAGTCCAAACTCCATGGGCACTATCATTACACATGCTGCCGAAGCAACCCTGTGATTGCCGCCTTTGTGGTCTTTACAGGGCGCCGAACAAAGATGCCGTCTTGGAGAAAATACCCTATTCCGCTCACGTACGTATTAACCTTAGTTCTAACTGGTAAGTCAAAATTTAGCAAGGTCGACCTAGTTATTGATAACGAGCGGATACCTGCCGCGCCAGACAGCGTTACTAAAACGGCAGTCTCCACGCCATTCGGCCTATTCGAGTATCTTCTAGTGCCTTTCGGTCTAAGCAAGGCCGCTCAAACTTTTCAGGCTTTCGTTTGCTTGGTGACGCGAAGACGAAGGTACTTAGACCTACTTAGGCGAGATACTCATCGCCTGCACTTTTGACGATGAACATCTTCACCTCGACGCTCTCTTCCAACGATTAACGAAACAAGGGGTTAAAGTGGAGCCCGATTAACGTGAGCTTGGGCAAACCTCCATAGATTTCCTTGGCTGCCTAATGTACGCCTCTGGTATTTAAGCCCTGCCAGACATACTCCAACAATATGGGACTATCCTGCTCCTAGTTTCTTCAAACAGGTACGCCGGTTCCTTGGCCTGGTCAACTACTATCGATGCTTTATTCCTAAATCCGCGAGCACTGTTTAACCAATGACTGACTTGCTCCGCAATCAAGAACCGTCTTTTTATTTTCCAGACGACGCTGGACTCTTTTGAGAAACTCCAAGATACCATCTCCAAACTAGCGCTGCTCGGCTACCCAGACACATCAGCACCACTCTTCCTGACAACTGACGCATCCAACGCTGCCGTCGATGCAGTTCTTCAACAAAGTCTTGACCATCGTGGGATACCTGTAGGCTTCTTCCCGAAACATGTACATCTTCCGAATCGCGTTACAGGACCTTCGGTTGGGAGCTGTTATCCATCTGCCTAGGTATCAGACATTTCTGACACTATCTCGTAGGTCTACCTTTTACCGTCTTCACTGACCACAAGCCATTGGTTTACGCAAACAACGGTGCAAAAGACAACCATTCTGAGCTGTAAACTAGTTGCCTAGACTACTTTGTTATTTTACGACAGGCGTGCGACATGTATCAGATGCTGCCGATCACGTCGCGGATGCGCTTTCACGCATACATCGGAGCAGCTTATCCCCTGGCACCAACATTTATATAACCGTCCTGGCTGTGGCCCAACAAGCTGATCCCGACATAAACAAGGCACGACGTAACAGCTATTTGAAACTACGCGAACT